GGTTTCCTTTTCTGAGCTTTCTAACCATCCCAAATCCCCATGATGAAATGTTGTTGTAAACATTTAGAACCACATTGCTTTTCTCAAGGACAATAAGTGATTTGGCAGACATTTTCATGTGAGTAAAAGCAGCAGAAAATTATAATTCCCCAATTATTAACAACTAGATTTCAGAGATATCAAAATAGTTTTAAAAACATAAGAAATTGAGGGCCTATTCATTTTTTAATTAAATTTATATTTTTTGCATCAATTACATTTTATTTACTTTGTACCCCAGCTGTAGCCCCCTCCCTCATTTTCTCCTAATCTCACTCTTCCTCCCTCATATCCTCCCATGCCCCTCTCCAAGTCCACTGAGAGGGAGGTCCTCCTCCCCTTCCATCTGACCCTAGCCTATCAGGTCTCATCAGGACTAGCTGCATTGTTCTCCTCTGTGGCCTGGCAACGCTGCTCTCCCCCTCGAGGGGGGGGGCGATCAAAGAGCAAGCCACTGAGTTCATGTCACAGAAAATCTCTATTCTATTCTCCTTACTAGAGAACCCACTTGGATACTGAGCTGCCACAGGCTACATCTGAGCAGGGATTCTAGATTATGTCCATGAATGGTCTTTGGTTGGAGAATCAGTCTCTGAAAAGACCCCTGTGCCCAGATATTTTGGTTCTGTTGCTCTTCTTGTGGAGCTCCTGTCATCTCCCAGTCTTCCCCCTACTTTCATACGATTACCTGCACTCTGCCCATTCGTTGGTTATGAGTCTCAGCATCTGCTTTAATACATTGCTGGGTAGAGTCTTTCAGAGGGAGGGCCTATTCTTTGGCTGTGTATTTCCTTTTCTTTTTGTTCCATGCACTGTAGTCATGCTGTGTGTATGATAGACATCAATGGCCTTTTCCATTCTTTAGACCTTGGGTTACTCTTTGGTGTGGAATTATTTTTCTTTATCAATAATTGCCTGTTATGTAAAAGTACTGTTTTAAAATTAACAAGGTGTTATTTTCAAAGTGTGATAAATTCTGATGATCTGTATGTAAGTTTAAAGATGTGAATATTGAAGAAATGGAAAAATCTATCACTTTTCAAGACTGTGAGCACATAAGCATATAGAAATATGAGATTGAAATAATTTTCTGTGAAATACAGTATGGAATTCACATTAGTTTTGAAAGCACACAGATGATTGAAATTGTACTTATTTCAAGCTTGAATCAAATGAATTGAATAATAATTACACTGTGCTTGCAAATGCAGACTATTAAAATGGCTAAATATTGATAGAAACTCACATGTGAAGAAAATGAAATGAGAAAATATCGGTAATGATATTTACTTCTTCAATGGAGGAGATTATTTTACAAGAAGAAATAGTACAGTAAATGTTTCCGACAGTAAGATAACTGAGTTAAATGTAGAATGATATTTCATAGTTTTTCTTCCAAAAAGTCAAAGTGTCATTATTAAATATAAAATATTTATTATTTTCTGCTTTAGAAAAGTAACAGTAAACTTCACTCTTGACTACATAGGGTATGATACTTAGGGAACTGTTATTTTGCATGTTTGTTTGTTTAATAGCATGACCATTCCTGATGTCAGGAGGCGTATCTTACAACTGATATAATACTGCATTGTATCATGTTGCAGATGATTATATAATAAGAACACATGTGCATGCCTGAAATATTAGTTACATAGTTTGGTTTAATTTCAGATTTTAAATAATGTTCAAATGAGTTTTCATGGATATTTACCCAGATACTTAGTTGGTACTTGGCCAAACAACAATTAGTCACTAAAAATGAACACTTGTCAGTGAGTCCCCTGCAGTGCCAGAGTGTATGAACAATAATCAATATAGGCTCTAAAATGAAACAGTTATTTTCAGAAATTTCGTTTTATAGACATATCATTTGTCCCCAAGTGTAGTAATGTATATTAGTTGTTAACTTGTACTTTTGTTATTGATTAGAGAAGGGTTTGCAACATATAATTATTAAGAGCATACTTTCCCTTTTCTTCTTATAAATATAGTTTTCTTTGATTAATCCTAATAAATCACAGGCTAATTTTTAATTTAAAGAATGGATACATTAAATGTCATTAAACTATTAATTGCTTATCTATTGTAATTGTAAATTTTGGAACTTTTACTTGATTAGCTATATGTTACATTGGAAAATATGTGTGAATTCCCCTGTAAGTTATATAATTTTTGTTTCTACATTGTTTTAAATATATATTTTATTACAGTCTTGTATATGCTACTGTTCATATATTTTCTTTTTTAATTAATTTATTTTTATTACAGTTTATTCACTCTGTTTTCCAGCTGTAGCCCCCTCCCTCAACCCCTCCCATTCTCACCCTCCCTCCCTCTTTTCCTCCCATGCCCCTCCCCAGTCTACTGATAGGGGAGATTCTCCTCCCCTTCCTTCTGTCCCTAGCTTATCAGGTCTCATCAGGACTGGCTGCATTGTCCTTCTCTGTGGCCTGACAAGGCTGCTCCCCTGTCAGGGGAAGGTGATCAAAGAACCAGCCACTGAGTTCATGTCAGAGACAGCCCCTGTTCCCCTTACTAGGGAACCCACTTGGAGACCAAGCTGCCATAGGGTGCATCTGTGCAGGGGTTCTAGGTTATCTCCATGCAGGTCCTTGTTTAGAGTATCAGTCTCAGAAAAGACCCCTGTGCCCAGATTTCTTGGTTCTGTTGCTCTCATATATTTTCTTTAATTCTCCTTTTTCTTTTTATCTCATCTTCTGTTTCCTGTTCTCCTATTCTTTCTCCTTCTGTTCTTCCTCCTTTTTCTTTAATTATTAGTATTGTAAGCTAATATGAGATTTCTCCTCTTGATTAAAATTTCATTATTTTTAACTCTAATCATCTCTACTTTTTTTTTTCTGAAGACTTGACTTAATTACAGAAGACATAGTACATAACATACAAATTGACTTGGGATAGGAACCTTGTACATTAAAATGGCCTTTAATTAATATCAACACCATGGTTATTGCAGTCATTTCTAAAGGGAAGACTCAATGTTGTATCTAAGTAAATATTGGAATTTAATTTCTTTCTTTTGACTATGCTTAGAGCATCATGACCCCATGTTAGCAGTGTAACACCCATAATTAGATAACCATGATTGCATAGGGTTTGGATAGCTCTTGATATCAGATGGAAAATCAACTTTAGTGATATATACCTAATATAAAAATTTATCAAATAGTTGACAAATAAAGAGTCTTAAGTAGATGTCACAATGAATGTGGAAGAGGTGAATGGCATTTACCATCTTCTTTGGTTAGCTACAACTCCCTGATGTTTATTTTTATTTCTGAGTTTTATATGGAATTCACGTTTGTGAAACGTATGTGCTCTGTTTATTTCTATTATAGCTTTTTGCTTGGTTGTCGTCCACTATCTAGTTTGTTGTACTGGGAAAAATAAAACACTGTTTTTTGTTTTTTACTGTTTTTTATTCATTTGTTTGTTTGTGGGTTTTTTGTTTTGTTTTGTTTTTGTGTCCCCCCCCTTCTCTTTTATCAGAGCCCTTACCATTAGGGAAACATGGTCAGAGTTTAGAGTTGTTCGAACTTGTCGGAAAAGAGAGTCAGCAACAAGTGAAGAGAACCACTACGTGACCCACTTCCTTCTCTCGGGCCACCTCTGCTCATTTTTCTGAACAATCATTTTCAAAACAACATAATTCTTGTGGTTGCCCACTAGGCAATTCAGGTGCCTTAACTGTGGCTCTCTGATTTGCTCTGTCTTAAATGGTGTATATATAGGTATACACTTGTTCTCATCCTTCTATGTATCTTTGCTAAAATGTGACTTCCTTAGTGATATCTCTCCTGATTGTCCCATTGGCAGTTATACCTACTTCTCTCACAGAGTTGATTATCTTTATCTTACTTTTAATTCTTATTATTCATTCTGCTAAAAATTAATTACGGAGAGGGTAGAGATTTTTGCCTTATTTTATTTACAGATATGATCTATCAAGTAATTGAGGAGAAGGTAGAGAGAGAGAAAGAGAAAGAGAGAGTGTAGGAAGAGGGGGTAGGGAGGCCTAACACTTCCTATTTAAGAAGAAATATTTTAAAGTGAAAGAACAGCTTTCAAATGATAGAATGTTGAACTTATACTGAAGTCTGGGCACACAGCCTGTTGTAATTGGGTGTGGAAAGGTTTCTTGCAGTAAATTGTGTGTGTGCTTATGATCTGTTTTGCTACATTTTTACTAGAAATTGGAAAAACACATTTTAAAAGAAAAGGCATTTTTACAAATGATCCCCAAACACATGATAAAAGCGAAAAGAAGCCTGTGTACTGGGTCCAAAAGGAAATTGCTGTGTAATTATTTTGTATAAATATTTAGTATAAAATATTAACAAAAATTTTTCTTGAGATATTAAAAAAGCAAAGAATAGGAGGTCAGTAAAAGAGGCATATGACGTCCGGTTAGCTGTATGTTACCTCTGAATTTAAATTGCCTAGCCTATATATGGGAAAAACAATATAGAAAAATTGGCTTAATTTGATTTTCTGTATGTAGCTCTGTTTTCTCCCTTAATGTGTTTATTTTCACAGTTAATGCTCCATATATTTAAATTTATAGCTCTTTTATTTTCCCCTTTGCTTAAAAGACTTTACAATGTAAGCTCTTTAAAGGAAAAAAAAATCTACTTTTCTTTTTCATATGATTCACTAATTATAAATGTCAAGTTGGGAATGATTAGGTGCTTAGTAAATATGCTGTACTGTGAATGAGTAAGTAAACGTAAGCCATAGAGTATATCTGACAACACAGTTGTAAACTTTTATATGCAATTATTTAAATTGAAATGGTCACCATGTCTAAACCATCATCTTTATTATTAAGTACATTTTTTTCTCATTTCATTAATTTGCCGCAATATAGATGCCTGCATTCTAGATTTACTATGTCAACTTCAAATTTAGTGAAATGATACAGTTCTGATGACTGTTCATGACAGGTCTCTAAGCTGGCTGGTGTCCTGGTCAAGCAGGGTGTCAAGAAGGGTGACACGGTGGTCATCTATATGCCCATGATCCCACAAGCAATATATGCCATGCTGGCATGTGCAAGGATAGGAGCGATTCACAGCCTCATATTTGGAGGATTTGCTTCCAAAGAATTAAGTACCCGCATTGATCATGCAAAGGTAAGCGCTTTCTTTAGGAGCAAGTCATTCAGCTGCCCATAGCATACCGCTTAGCTATTTTCTGTTTGTTCTTCCTTTCAAATGGAATACTTAAAATTAGTCTTCTTTCTTTTTCTTTCTCTCTTTACTTCATTCTTTCCTTCTTTCTTCCTTTCTTTCCTTTCTGTATGTACCTGTTCATTATACATTAATTTTGGACTGAGTGTCATATCAAACACATCCTGCTAGGTGTTTAGAGGAGTATTAAATAGGAGGAGATGAAGTGTGTGCCTCCCATGTTATCTTGTGTTCTGACGTGTATAAGTCATCTGAGGTAAACAAGTGATAAGTAACTTTCTCCCTAGATACCTCTAAATCTTGATACTTTTCTTAGAACTAGGTAACAAATGATCCTTACAGAGATTGACATATAGCTACAGGGTTAAGAGGGAATATTTGTAAGATTGTGTTATGTGTTTAAATTGGTTACTAAGATAACAAATTCCATAAAGACATTGTGAAAGATTCTTGAGGCTTGACCTTAAATCATCTAGTATATGATTTATGGGCTTATATGACTCATTTAAAGATTTTGGTCATTATTATTTTATGAATTAGGTAGAAGTTACCATATATTTTTCTGTAAGGGATCACACAGGTAATATTTTAGAATTTTTATGCTCCTGTGTTTCTGGTGTAGCAATTGAGCTGTTAGTGTAGCACTGAAGTAGCCACAGAGAGTACATATAGAGATGAGGATATCTTTGTCACAATAAAACTTGACAAAACCAGAATAAACTTCTAATTTGGAGGTGGGGACATTTTCTTTTTGTTGGCTACCTAAAGAGGGATTCCTGAAATATGGAAATATTTAAAGGTAACAGGACAGGAGCCTACCACAGATGGCCTCTGAAAGAATCTATCTAGCAGGGTATGGAAGCAGATGCTAAGACTCACAGCCAAAGTTTGGGCAGAGTGCAGGGATACTTATAAAAGAAGGGGGAGATAGAAAGACCTAGGAACCATACAAAGAATCCAACAGAGCCAAAAATCTGGGCCTAGAGCAGGGCTGCAGAGACTGACAACCAAAGGCCATGCCTGGAGAGGACCTAGACCCACCAGCTCAGATGTAGCCCATAGGAAGCTCAGTCTCCATGGGAGTTTCCTGCTAAGGAGAGCAGGGGCAGTCTCTGCCAAGAACTTGGTTGCCTGCTTCTTGATCATCTCCCCATGGCAAGCAAGGTGGCCTTACTAAGCCACAGTGAAAGAGGATACAAACAATCCTGATGAGACCTGATAGGCTAAGATCAGATGGTAGGGGAGGAGGATCTCTCTCATAAGAGGACTAGGAAGGAAAAGAGGAAAGCAGAGAGGGATGAGAAAGAGAAGCAGGAGGGGGCTACAGCAGGGATAAAAGGTGAATATTAAAATTAATAATAATAATAATGATGATGATGATGATGATGATGATGATGAATGGAATCTTGACTAAGATTTCCTGATTGAACAGAATGAGATAATGAGATGCACAAACAATACAAATCAAGATATAGAGGCAAAAAATAAAAGAGGAGATTAATTTGGGAGAGAGACTGCAGATGCAGATTTATGTGACAAAAAGTATGGAGAGAGTTCGGTAAATCAGATTCTACTTAACCTACAGAAATAACAATGAAAAGTTCTGAGCAGGCAAGAGCTTTTAGTGATGTTAGAAGACAGTCTTGCAGCGAGGGGTACTCTGGAAGCTTAAGCGAGAATCTTTGGTAGGTAGTCTATTTGCCGAATAGTTGAAATATGTAGGGGAAATGGTGATACGAAGATGAAGGAAGGAAGGAAAGAAAGAAGAGAAGGAAAGAAGAGATGTCTTACTTTACAGTTACACAAGCCCCAAAGGAGATATTCTTAGCATGTCAAGGAGTTAGGCTATTAGACCCTGAGAGGCAGGGACAGAATAAGACTTTGCATATCAGCTACATCTGAAAATCAATTTAGGTATTACTACTGGAAAAAAAAATTGTTAATCAACCACCTGAGTTTGTTGGTTTTGTGATTTGTTTGTTTGCTTTTATTTGTTTTATTTTATTAATTTTACTTTATTCACTTTGTATCCCCCCATAAGCCCCCCCCTCTCCCCTCCCGGTACCACCCTTCCTTCCCCTTCTTCACGCATGCCCCTCTCCAAGTCCACTGATTAGGGAGGTCTTCTTTTCCTTCCTTCTGATCCTAGTCTATTAGGTCTCATCAGGAGTGGCTGCATTGTCTTCCTCTGTGGCCTGGTAAGGCTGCTCCCCACTCAGGGGGAAGTGATCAAAGAGCAGGCCAATCAGTTCCTATCAGAGGCAGATCCTCTTCCCATTACTATGGAACCCACTTGGACACTGAACTGCCATGGGCTACATCTGTGCAGGGGTTCTGGTGATCTCCATGCCTGGTACTTGGTTGGAGTATGAGTCTCTGGGAAGACCCCAGTCCTCAAATTTTCTGGTTCTGTTGCTCTCCTTGTGGGGTTCCTGTCCTCTCCAGCTCTTACTATTTGCTTTTATTTTTAAAAACATATTGAGATAAGTAAACCTCATCGAAAAAAAAATCTAAAGAAATTGTCAGCCACTGACCTGCAAATCAGAGGAAAAAGATTTTTGAGGAGGCTTGTAGACTCCAGGTTTTAGCTACAGAAATTCTAAACTTTATTTAGACAAACACAATTACTTCCTTAAATAATACAAAAGTTTTCTTATAACATATGGAAAATTAATATATACAAAAATACAAAGTCTTCTTTATGCTATCTCATTGGAGGAGTTTTATTCACAACACATGTACATGCACACTTACTTAACTTTGTTAATGGATTTAGAAAACAGTGCTCGTTCTTATGTGCAAAGGCATTCATCATGTCAAATTTACATAAATTCATGAGTGGAAATGCCTGTTTTGGGGGCATCTGAAAGACTCTACCTAGCAGTGTATCAAAGCAGAAGCTGAGACTCATAACCAAACCTTTGGCAGAGTGCAGGGAATCTTATGAAAGAAGGGGGACTTAGTACAACCTGGAGAGGACAGGAGCTCCACAAGGACCGAATATATCAGGGCACAGGGGTCCTTTATGAGACTGATTCTCCAACCAAGGACCATGTATGGATATAACCTAGAACCCTGCTCAGATGTAGTCCCTGGTAACTCAGTATCCAACTGGGTTTTCCTAGTAAGGGGAACAGGGACTGGTTCTGACATCAACTCAATAGCTGGCTCTTTGATTCCCCCACCCTGAGGAAGGAGCAGCCTTGCTAGGCCACAGAGGAGAACATTGCAGCCAGCCCTGATGAGACCTGATAAACTAGGGTCAGATGGAAGGGGAGGAGGACCTCCCCTGTCAGTGAACTTGGAAAGGGGCAGGGAGGAGATGAGGGAGAAAGGGTGGGATTGGAAGGGAATGAGGGAGGGGGCTACAGCTGGGATACAAAGTAAATAACCTGTGATTAATATAAAAATTTATATATATAGAAATAAATAAACAAATCAAAAAAGAAATGCCTGTTTTTATGTCATGAATTTAAAAATAAGATAAAATTACTTTAACAAATAAATATGGAAATGGTATATTCTGAGAAGTTGGTCCAAACCCCATAAAAACCTGATAGACACCAGTAATTGAAATATGAAAAGGATTATTTCCCAGAGTAAGAGTCTAACTGACTTCTTTGTCATAAGTTTATAAGTTCTCTTTACCTATTGAATAGCTTACTTTTGTTTGTTCCAAATTCTAATCTTAAGAAATGTTATCAAGTACTTATGCTCACAACCATTAAATTAAAAAAAATGTGGACTAAACTAATATATGTGGCATTCCAGGATAATAAAATGAAACAAGAATTGTTTCTATTTTCTCTCTCCATCTTTTTCAAAAATGTCAGCTTGCTATACTGATATAGAAAGTTTCTGAAGCCAGACAGAACCGGCTCTCTCTATCTCTACCATCTTTAACCTGAGGCAAATTATGTAACTACAGTGAGCTCCAGCTCCATGAATATTAAGTGTCATTCAAAATGTAAAATTGACTTTATGAACATACATTTGACATAGTCTAAACCTTCCCCAAACCATATTGTAACTAGAAATCAGAATTTAAGAATCAATACAAAATCATGGAGTGACTAACTGTCTCCTGATTAATTTATTACACAGCAGCTTGTCTTTGGAATGATCTAATAACAAAAATAAAGATGTACATTTTTATATAAATTATTGAGAAATTTGGGTTTGACTCATGCTTGCTGTTGGTGTAGTAAGCACTGTGTGAGGCAGAAGAGACACAAAGATAACTGACATCCCAAATTTGTCATTGGAAATCTTACTGTGTTAGGAGGGAAAGGAATGTGCAGACTGTCATTGTATATGTGAGACATACCCAGCATGTCCCAGAGAAAGGAGATTAACACAGACATTCCAGAGACATCTTCCAATACACCGGACCTGTAAATGAGAGTGTACCTCAGTGACCTGAGCGAGTCCTCGACTTGTGAGATATTTGGGGTCCCTTACAAGGAAAATAATGTAAGGCAGGCATGTGGCACCCCCCCCCTTAGTCTCAGTACTCAGGAGGCAAAGGCAGGTAGATCTCTGTGATTTTGAGGGCTGCCTGATCTGTGAAGTGAGTTCTAGGACAGCTAGAGCTGCATAGTGAGACCCTGTCTCAAAAATATTATTAATATAACAATATAGTATAACACTATATAATATGTGCTAACATAATTATGTGTTAAGAATGAGGGAAAAAATCACCAAAACCAATGAAAGTTTTGGATTGCCTACTTAGTGTTATTTCAGAGGCAACATTTATACAGAAAACCTGAAAAAAGCTTTCTGATTGTAACTTGATTTGTTTTTGCTGCTTAAGAGATACCATATTCCTGTAAAGAAATCATTGTGTGTGTATGTGTTTGCATTTGAATATATGTTTGTGTGTGTGTGAGTATGACAGAACATTTCACTGGATCATGGGAGATTTATTTGGCTTAATGAATTCATTGGAAGTTATTTTATATAGTTCATATTTATAAACCCTAAATATAATTGTATGTATAATTATGAACAGATGATATTTATGTATAAGTATTTAGGCTTATAAACATTTAGAAAAAGAACTTTTTGGGTTTTTAGGTTATTTATTTAATAGCAAACAGAAGCCAGAGATTTCTTTCAAAATGTCAAATTGACAGTCTATGCTGCAATATTATGGTCACCTTCACTAGAATTGTTACAATGTTTCCTTTTTTGTCTTCTTCCCATTTTAGCCTAAGGTGGTTGTTACAGCATCCTTTGGGATTGAACCTGGAAGGAAGGTAGAATACATCCCACTTCTAGAAGAAGCATTAAAAATAGGACAACACATACCAGACAGAGTTCTCATTTACAGTCGTCCAAATATGGTAATTTGAAACTAATTTTCTTCTTTCTGATGGTATTCTACCAAAGATAATTTTAGTTTTGGTCATTTGAAAACTACAATTGAACATAATTGCAGTTATGGGAGGGAAAATATTGTGGATGATAGTATCTATGGAAAACTAAGTGAAAATAGCAAGTAATAAAGCACAGAAATGCAGATGATATTAGTACTTTGGGTTTGTGTATTACTCTCCTAGGCTGTCATTTATTCTTTTAAGTTTTATGATAATACTAGTACATACTAACTATCTACTATTTGGTTTGAAAGATACTGAGGATATCTTTTTCAAGATTCTAGAAGAAATAAAAAATTAATTCCAGGTATTGTATGAATTAGGAAATTCTTATTTAAGAATGAGGAATCACTGTACATTAAGATGAAACAGGATAGTCATTGGAAGTAGGAGAAGACAAGAAACAGGGAAGGAGCCTTCCACAGAAGACCTCTGAAAGACTCTACCCTTCAGGGTATCAAAGGGGATACTGAGACTGATAGTCAAACTTTGGGCAGAGTGCCAGAATCCTTATGGAAGAAGAAGGAGATAGAAAGATCTGGAAGGGATAGGTACTCCACATGGAGAACAACAGAGTCAGAAAAACCCAGGGCCCAGGGGGTCACGCATCGAGAACCCTGCCTAGAGGAAGCCCATACTGCTCAGTTTCCAAGTAGGTCACCTAGTAAGGGGTACAGGGGCTATCTCTAATTTGAACTCAGTGACCTGTACTTTGATCACCTCCTCCTGGGGGGTGCAGGCTTACCAGTCTACAGAGGAAGATGATGCAGCAGACTTAATGAGACCTAGTAAACCAGGATCAGATAGAAGGGGTGGAGGTTCTAACCTATGAAGGGACTAGGGAAAGGGCATAGGGGAAGAAGAGGGAGGATGGGTGAGACTGAGGGGAGATGAGGGAGGGGGCTGCAGCAGGGATACAAAGTGAATAAATTATAATAAACAAATAAATATATAAATTAAATTAAATTTTAAAAAGGTGAAGTAACCTGCTTTGCAGGATTGGCCACTGTGAGTATGTTCTTCACCCCTTCACTGCATGACCTGTTGGAAAGATATGATTAGTCTATATGCAAGTTATCTTTTAATAATTGAGGAAAGGTGCTTTTTCAGCCAGAGATAGGCTGTGTTCAAAAAAATTATTATTCTACACAGACAAATTTTCCTGTGATCCATGGAGGATGAAAGATTATAGTAATGACATTATTTTATACTTTTCCTTGTCACCTTGGCCTTGATGGGCATCTTGTTTCTATCTCCAGTCAACTCTCCAACTACGTGCAATAGGAATGAGTTTTGTTTTTTAAAAGATTATTATGCATTTTGCAAAAGATAAATTACAAACTCACAAACATTCCTTTGCCAGACCTCTTGAGAGGTTTTCAGCAGAAAGTAGTTAATTGACAAGTTCTAAGACTAGACTTTGTCATTTTGATGAGCGTATAACAAGAAACATTGCCACATTAAATTCCCTCATGGAGTTTCAGCGCTCTGGTTCATGAACTGCTGCACTCAGGGAATTTAATGTTCCTACTGTCTCAGAAAAGAATGCTAAGTTTCTTTCAAGCACTTTTTTTTAAAGGCTTTGTCTCCTTTTAAATCAAGGAACATGAAGTCAGCCACTCAGCAGAGTCTAGGTAAGGGTAAGGTGGAGGAATGGCAGAAACATGCTCACAGGAGTGTTTTTTATTAGAGTGTCTACTATTCCTGCTAAGATATGAATTCCCTTAGGCTTTATTAAGGACTTATGTTAGACTAGGAACCATGTGAAGTGTTTTCAAGTGCCTTTGCTTACTTAGTTCTTGCAGATCAATGAGTTAAGTCTTGTAACTGGTTACATTTTCCTGCTGAAGAAACAGTCATGAACAGATATACCCAAAGTATATCTAAGTGGTATAGCAAGGTACAAATTTTGGTTTGATAACTTTTAAACAACAAGGTACATGCTATTTCTTTTGCCCTACAAGCACATCTTGTTTATATTTTCATTCTCTTTATTCACATTTTAATATGATTCTCTTCTCTCTATAGAATTGTCTTAGCTCCTCACCCCACATAACTGTTTCACTTTCCTCCTTCTTTGCCCTTTCTCCAATGTGCCTCTTGAGCAGTACAGATGAAGGCTTTAGTGTATCTTATCTTTTTATGAGACCTACTGTTTAGACAGTAATTAAACCCAGTGAATTGGGCTTGCTTTGAATTTAAGAGGAACAGATGATGGGGCTGGATATTGCATCTTATTAACTAACATTCACCTTTGCCAAATGACATAAAAGTTTTGCTGCTACTCTTAAGCCTCAGGCAAACTATGACATACACTGAAGATTATCACTTGTCACCATGATACTTTATAAATATAGGTGCTTAAGAATTCTAACGTATAGGAAGAATTGACCACACACACACACACACACACACACACGTTTTATATAACATATGTTAATGTTGCTACTCTTCCGTTTCCTCAGACCATTTCCCTTACACATATTTTATACCCTAAAAATAACCATTTATTCTAGTGCCCATTTCATTAGAGGCTTGTAAAAAAATATTTGTAACCACAACTCAGTTTTCATTTTGCAGTATGATGATCTTAACTGCTCTACAGTTATGATGTTAAAGCTTTGGTAATTTGAAATTTGTTATGTTTTCCTCATGCATAAAAAGAAATGGAAACATGGTTTGTTCACAGTTAACTGTTTTATTTACTTAAGTGATATTAGCTAGTACCTTTCCAAAGGAAGCAAGAGAATTCAGCTATGCTTGAAATATAAACTTTACAAATGATGTACAGTTCAGTTCTTTATATACAAGTGGATTTATTCAGACATGTTGTATTTGTGATACTACCTTGATCCATAATTTGTAAATGTGCATATTTAATTTTTTGACAAGTTGTCATAGTTCTGGTTACCAATAGGGATTCTGGAAAATGGAAATTATTTTTTTTTTCTGTGAATGCTCCAGAGCCTGTTAGCTTAGCCCAGATACCATCTTGATGAAGACAATAGTTATATACATGTCTGGCTATGTTGCTCATTTGCTTTACTGAACTTTGTGTAACTGAGTTCTATCTCCCTGTGTTTACATATTTCTTACCTATAAACATCCTGTTATGGCAGGTCTATGTCTTTAATCCCAGAACTCCTAAGGCAGAGGCAGACAAATCTCTATGATTTTGATGTCAGCCAAATCTGCATAAGTAGCTTGAGGCAAGCTAAAGATGCAGAGTTAGACCATGTTTCAAAACAAAACAAAACCCTTCTTGATAAGGAATCTGGCTATTTCAAGAATGCCAACCTGCTGTCTTATCTAGATACCTGTAGGTACTCATTTCCACAAGCCCTACTCCTTTTTCTTCACTTCTCTGCCAACTTAATGGCAGTTTAAGTTGCTTAAGGTCATGTCCATTTATGATATGGCAGTTTTCACAAAATTTAAAAATAGCTTTGATATTGAGGAAGGAAAAATAGTAATTTTGTTTTGTTTTCTAGCACATTAGTGACTGAGAAGGAGTAAAGCATTTTGGCCATGTCATTTACTCTGTTTTACTTAAAAATTGGTTTCTCTCTAGAGAAAACACACATGGAACTCTTTCTTATTCCTGAACATGGCTTGAGTTGCCCTATTGCAAAGGTAGCTCTACTGTTACTCCTGAATGTCACTATATAAAAATATTTCAGTGTATTAGCTGATGTTTCCTGGTGAAGACAGAGCTTCAAAATTAAAATATCAAGCTTGACTTTCGTTTTTTAAGTTACCTGTGCACATTCATGTTTGGAAACCTATCTGTGAGTTAAATAAGCCCAAAGATTCATCAAAACATGACAGCATCACATTGGATTGTTAAGGTAGCCATAGAGCTCAGTAAAAACCCTCACGAGGGAAACTAACATCAAACCACTGGGTTGTACCAAAATGTAGTTTATAAAGTCTTTGCCTTGTCTTTTAATTTTGAGATTTGTTCACACAAGCAATGCTTAGTGTCATAAAGGTGCAGCTTTCTAATGGATGCTCAGACCTAAAGATTGAGCTATTCATTGGTTCTCCAGTAACTCCATCTCCTATTTACTGTGCACATTTCTAAATTTTTCTGTGCAGGAGAAAGTTCCTTTGATGTCAGGTCGAGATCTTGATTGGGAAGAAGAAATGGCAAAAGCCCAGTCTCATGACTGTGTGCCTGTTCTCTCAGAACATCCATTGTATATTCTCTACACATCTGGGACAACTGGGCTACCTAAGGTATTTGCTTTCTTTGTGATATGCACAATGGCAGGTTTTCTTTTTCTTTTATTTTTTATATTAATTTTTTTATTTATTATAACTTATTCACTTTTTATCCCAGCTGTGGCCTCCTTCTTAGTCCACTCCAAATCCCACCTTCCTGCCCTCTTCTCCTCCCATGCCCCTCCCCCTAATAGGTGAAGTCCTCCTCCCTTTCCATCTGACCCTAACCTATCAATCATGTCTCATCAGGATTGGCTGCATTGTCTTCCTCTGTGGCCTGGTAAGGCTGTTCGCCACTCAGGGGAAGGTGATCAAAGAGCCAGCCACTGAGTTCAGGTTAGAGACAGTCCCTGTTCCTATAACAATGGAACCCACTTGGGATTGAACTGCCATGGGCTACATCTGTGCAGGAGTTTGAATTTGTTTCCATGTATGGTCCTTGGTTGGAGTATCAGTCTCAGAAGAGACCCCTGTGCTCAGATATTTTTTTTTTATTCTGTTGCTCCCCTTGTGGAGCTCAGTCCCCTCCAGGTCTTTCATCTCCCCCTTTCTTCCATAAGATTTTCCTGCACTCTGCCCAAAGTTTGGCTATGAGGCTCAGCATTTACTTCACTACCCAGCTGGGTAGGGTCTTTCAGAGGCCCTCTGTGGTAGGCCCTTGTCCTGTTCCCTGTTTTGATAATCTGTCTGATTAAGGAATGAAAATGTTTTCAAGCTGTAGCTTGATGCTTAGACACATTTCTTTTATTTCTTGCATGAATTTTGTACAAATACTTTTAAAGGAAAGACTTTCATCCTCTTTTTTTTTCAAAATTATTGGCTGTCAACAATAAATACTTACTTTGGTAAGCTGGTAAAATCAATATGCAGGTAATTGACTATTGATTGGTTTGACTATATGTGTGTATGTGTGTGTGTATATATATATATATATATATATATATATATATATATATATATATATAACTTAACAGTATGTTAAAGTTTGTGCCACTATGCTTGTATCCAAAGTAAAAGATACATTTGAAAGACATAATTTTATAAATTATTTATTTAACATATAATTAATTATATGTTTAAATTATTATTTGAAAATAATTTTCTTTTCTTTTTTAAATTATAGTATAGGTTCTATACATCATGAAATATATTTTTCACATTTGTTTACTTTTTGTGCATGTGTGTATATAAAGAGTTTCACTGTATGCCATAGCATGCATGTGAAAATTAGAGGACAAGACAGGAGAGTTTATTCTCTCCTTCTGTTATATGGGTTTTAGTGATAAAACACAGGACATCACACTGAGTGACAAGTACTTTCACCTTCTGACCATCTTGTCAGTCTTAAAATAGACTTATGACTAAGGATAATTTGGTATTTTACTATAAAAATGAGGTTGAAGTTAAGACAGTTTGGGTCAGAGTCAATCTATCCAATGTATACACCCATTGGTGTATACATAAGTTGTACAATAAGGAGATACTTGACATCTTTTCATCCATCTCTCATGAAAGCTGCTTTTGCAAAGCAAAAAAAAA